TATATATATATATATATATATATATATATGTGTGTGTGTGTGTGTGTGTGTGTGTGTGTGTACACAAAAGAAAATATTCCACACTAATGCATGTTTTTCTATTTTAAAATTTCAGCCAGAAATTGTTACGGTCACCAAGGAAACCAACACGGAAAATATCAAAAATCCCTTTCAAAGTTTTGGACGCTCCAGAGCTTCAGGACGACTTCTATCTTAACTTAGTTGACTGGTCCTCCCTTAATGTACTCAGTGTTGGTCTAGGAACCTGTGTGTACCTGTGGAGTGCCTGCACCAGCCAGGTGTGTGTATTGTCTGGGCTGATAGCAGGGGTCTTCTCTGTAGTTAAAAAATATCTCACCATGACATGGCTCTGAAAACAATTATATATTTTTGTTTTAGTCTAAACGATTATCACCTTAGATCATATAAAGACTTTCCTAATAAGTCACTTTTTGACTGATAATTTGCTTAATTACTGTATCAAGTAAATAAGCTGAGGAGCTGCAGTCTTCAGTAGTGGTAAAGGAAGTACTCAATTTACTCACAATTTGTCCCCACAGTAACAGCATCAGTATATCAATAATATATCTGTCCTGTGGCAGAGTAAATCCCTTCACTATGTCAGTTTTCTAAACACATTTGTTTTTGTTTGTTTTTTTGTAAATAGAGCTTTATTGTGAACTATTGGCCAAAATATTCTAACAAATGTGCAACATTTTGAAGAATCTTTAGATTCTAATCTAATCTTTGTATTAGATTGATTGGCCCATTGTCTTCAAAAATGTAAAGCTCTCTGTGTTGACATAAAAGCTCTTGAGCAGGTCATCAATTTAACATGCATCCAGTGTAACCTGCGAATGTAATCAGTCTGCCCCCTAGACACTGTGCTGAATTATTTCCTTGTTTACGTCTTCAGGTGACTCGTTTGTGTGACCTTTCTGTAGAAGGAGACTCTGTCACATCTGTAGGCTGGTCAGAAAGGGTGAGTCTCTGTCAGGATCTTTTTGCTTCTCTTTATATTCTGTGACACTGAGGATGTGCTGTGTATTTGTAGGGTAACCTGGTGTCAGTGGGGACTCATAAGGGCTATGTACAGATCTGGGATGCAGCAGCAGGGAAGAAGCTGTCTGTACTAGAGGGACATACGGCTAGAGTGGGTGAGTAAAGAGGAAGAAGAAGGTCAACATTTAAAGACAATAAATACCCCTTTATTTTACACCAGGCTGTTGGGTAACACCTTTCACTATTCATTCTTTGTATTTGTTTTTATTTGCCAGGTGCGTTAGCATGGAATGCAGACCAATTGTCTTCTGGGAGCCGCGATCGAATGATCCTGCAGCGGGACATTAGAGCCCCCCCGCTCCAGTCCGAACGCCGTCTCCAAGGGCACAGACAGGAGGTCTGTGGGCTCAAATGGAGCACAGACCATCAGCTTCTTGCATCTGGTGGAAACGATAACAAGGTAGACAGACACCAAGCTGCTGTGTCAGCTGCCACGCTCTACATGGGTTAGATAAACGGACAGATAAATATTTTCTCTCCCTTGTTGAATTCTTCTGTAGCTGCTTGTGTGGAACCACTCCAGTGTTCTCCCAGTGCAGCAGTACACGGAGCACTTAGCTGCAGTAAAGGCCATCGCCTGGTCTCCTCACCAACACGGCTTGTTGGCCTCTGGAGGCGGCACTGCTGACCGATGCATCCGCTTTTGGAACACTCTAACAGGACAGCCGCTGCAGTGCACAGACACGGGCTCCCAGGTCTGCAACCTGGCCTGGTCCAAGCACACTAATGAACTGGTGAGTTGACTCGTGGATTGTGGTTTGAGATAAACTGTTAGAAGTGGTTTCATTGTGAAAGAGTGATAGAAATATATTTATATATTTAAGTTAACCCCTGAAAAGATGTAATCTGTTTTTCTACTGTACACAACCTTTATTCAACAATGTTCTCGTTCTGACAAGATGTCCACTTTGCTCTACAATTACTACTTAAACCCACATTTTTATACAGTATATGTATATGGTCACCAGCAGCAAATTAATTAGTAGTGAGACATTGGTGCTAAGATATCACCTGGTGCTGCGTTCACCGTGGGCTGCAATGCTGCCATGGTATGGATTGTTAAAGTAGAGTATCATTGATCTTTCTGTTTTCCCCTCCAGGTCAGCACCCACGGTTATTCTCAGAACCAGATCTTGGTGTGGAAGTATCCCTCTCTAACTCAAGTGGCCAAACTCACAGGACATTCCTACAGAGTGCTCTATCTGGTCAGTGTACTGTTCCACTATCCCACCACAAATTACTGTTCATTCCAAATGATATCTCAGTCAGGAAAAAATAAAACACGTGCTTAGTAGTATAGTGATAATATCAGTGAAACCTGAAGAAGCAGAGGCCCAGTGATTGGATTCAGTGGTTCCATCATTCATCGACTGCCCACAGGAGAATACATGTTGTGCTTCCTTTGTCCTACTGTGTTATTGAGTGTGTAACTATAAGTTACATGTTACAGGCCATGTCGCCGGACGGCGAGGCCATCGTGACTGGAGCTGGAGACGAAACCCTTCGTTTCTGGAACGTCTTTAGCAAAATGAGATCCACAAAGGTGTTTCATCGAGTTCTTCTTGCTCATAATACGGTCTCTGAAATCGTCTAACTCTTACTAACATCCTCCGTCTTTCATCTTCCTCCAGGAATCTGTGTCGGTGCTAAACCTCTTCACCAGGATCCGGTAGAGATCAGTGTGGTAGGGAATCAAAGCCAGGAGGAGAACGAACCATTGCATGTGTCGACCTGTTCACAGTCCTGGTCTTTTAGTATTTGCCTCAGCTGGCAACTGAGGACTTACCCTCAACTGCCCTTGATTTATTTGAGAGAAGTTGTGTTGCTGCAGGAGCGATGATCCACCAGAGTGTTGTGGCAGAGAAATCAACACTCAGTGTCTACAGTATTCCAACCCTCCAACAACAACAACAACAGATTTCTGAAAATAGGGAGCATTGAGGGCATTATGTTCCAGTGTGATTACTTTTTTGTTTACAGATTGACCTTTTCCGACCTGCCAATTTGTTCTTTTTTTTTATTGTCTTATTTATTTTATTTTGTTTTTATGTGTTTTAATTCTAACTAGGATGCACAAGAGTCTTTGTGTTTGGTTGGGTTTACAAAAAAATAACACAGTCATGTCCTTTTTTAATACTATTTTAATAGGTGTTATCTCCTACAGTAATCACTGTGCCATTACAACAGAGAAAGCTTGATACGCTTTTAAATTCATGACAATTTAATTTGACGTAAATGAGTGCATGCAAAATCAGGTGTTACAGTAAAATAATATTAAATTGGAATAAAAAAAAAATATTTAAATTTTAGGGCACTTGTCTTTTGGGACTTCAAACCATTGTTGTGTTGAGCAGTTTTTAAATTTGAAAAAAACAAAAAATTGCATTCTTTTCCTCCCTCTTGTTTTCTCACCTGGTTGAATGGTTGAGTCAGCTGTGCCACGTTTACAATGACTTCTATTTATTTGTGTTGTGAAAGGTTCATGTGCAGAGTTGAGGTGATTGCTTGTGTTATCTGAGTGAAGGTGAGGACCCTCAAATCGGAGAAAATGTTTGATCAACGCCATTTATAAATCAAGACAATGCTGCCAAGTTGAAGTACAGAAAATGTCAAGAGGATTGTATTTCTTTATTGAAATAACCATCATTAAATGACCATATCTTGTACTTGAGCTTGCCGTTTTAATTTATCTATTGTGTTTACAGAATGTGATGAATTTATTGTGATGCAGTGAGAAGCTCAGTGTGATGGTCCGGGTCGTAATTGAGTGATTGGATGTTTGTTGGACGTAATAGCCTGATGGTTGTACTGTTCTGAATTATATAAGAACGGTACATCAGTAACTGTGATCATAATTGTTAATGCACAATATTTACAAAGCATTTTTCACACTAGTGAAAACTTACTCAGTCAGGATATGTGTCAAGAGCCCTTAAAACATTGTAGTATTTGCCTGTAAAATATCCCGTTTACAATTTAAAATACTTTATTCCCTCAAATCATTGTTTTTCCCCGTCCTTTTGTGCTGTTGAAATAAGCCAACACCAGAGGGCGCCGTTCTGGGAGCCACTAAAAATGATTGCTGTTACCGTAGTTAACATGGTTCTCAAATGTGAGAGTCAGTTTGTGGAATAAATCACGGCAGTGATGTTGATGCTGTTTGTAAACTGGCTGTGAGGAAGGTCATGGTTCACTGCGACACCGTAACAAAGATCCCTGTTGGGGATGTGACTTTAGGACCGGGTTAGTAGGAGGAGAGGTTTGAAGAGACAGACGAACCTTGTGGCATCATCAGCATCGTGTCTTGAAAGTCTGCAAAAACTCATTATATTCCCAGACCATCCCACACAAACAAACATGACCCGGAGCATGATAAATACAAATGTTCACAACCTCCCAACACTCACATGTTTGTTTTGGCCCCTTCAGCAGACCTATTAATTCTCATAAGTGATTTCTTTTTCTTTTTTGAGCAACAGCTGGAGGATTTAAATATGCAAACAGAAAGCAGATCACAGGTAATCTGAGTTCATAATAAATACATTTAAATGGAAAGACGGAAACCTAACGATGTATTAATGACTCGACGTGAGCTCCTTTCCCCTTCAGACTCCATTATAATGTCTTGATAATAACATGCACACTCTATTATTACAATCAGGTAACTCACCCAATGGAAGACATTCACCACAGTCTCCCAGCTCGCGTGGGGCTCTCAGTGGGCAGATGTTAACATTAAGCCCTGAAAGCAGAAGGGGAGACGAGAGAAGGGATCACTGATATGCATAATCCTACCTCCTGATGTTTCCATCAAGAGGCACAGAGTGTGATGTTCGTTACACCGCTAAAGCCTCACAACACAAGAGAGCAGGATCTTCCCCCAGGTTCCTGGTTAAGCCTGACTCTTGAGTTGCATTGACAACCAGCCTATGAGGACTTTGTAAAGGAACAAGGCCTTTGTCGTGAGTAATGGCTGCAGCCACCCGGGCTCTTTTTTTTTTTGTCCAATTTTTTTGTGGAAGGGACAGAGAGGGTTCCTCCTGTACCTTATTTACAAACAGACACTGGTCGTTGAGCCCTGCACAACCTTTGCATTCATAAATGAGAAGGGTGTTTTTCCACAGCTGTCATCTAGCAGGTGTCGTGGAAGATGCTATGATATAAACAGCTCTCTGAGGGAAAGGGGATCACACAGAAACATACTGATGAAGAGCTGCCTGTTTTTTCATCCGTTCTGAAGCCTTGATAGGTTTTTTGTGTGTGTGTGTGAATTTTCACACAAAGCACCGAGAGCAGCATGGAACATCATTGTTACTGTTCTAGTTGTCATTCTTCTGAGATTGTCCTTAAACTGAATACATAAATAATTAGACTAAGTTGCAGTTTTATCCAGTAAGTCATAACATATCGAGATTTGTGTATTCTGATTCCTATTACCTTCTGTTAGAGGGGTTTCTAGTCTTTTTACTTACACTGACAACATGAATTATGCATAAAACAATTACATTTATTTACTCACATGCTGCCATTAAACTACTTTAACCGGGACTTATTTTTTACGTCTATATAATTCAAATCTCTGGATCAGATTTCTTTAATGTTACGTCAATAACATAAAGAAAAAAAACAGCACAACAGAACGTGAAAACTTAATTTAAAAATCGCAGCATAAAACTTACTCATGTGCTGCTACAATCAGATGTTACTTCTGAAATGTTCTCAACACAGGATGATCCAATGAATTTGACCTCCAAGTAGTAGATAAAGACATAAGTATTGACATGTACTACAGCCACTGATCACATGACTCCAAACACTGGCTTCCTATTGACT